AATATTTTTTTAATTTTCAGTTTATTTTGATTTAAAACTAATGTAATCAATTTGTTATTTTTCATTGAATTTAATGGATTTTAACTTATTTTTTTCTTAATTTAACCTTATCATTAAACTAGAAGTCACGACAATATGTCAAGCACGTAATATACATTACCTTTTGAAGGAGTATGTATTATCTTCTATCATAATCCCTCATATTTCAGAATAAACGTCGTCTAACTCGTCATTCCAGAAAAAATATTCCTATAAGCATCGGGAAATACTGTGAAATTTTTGTATTTTTGAGAAAGATGGAAATAGGTAGTATGTTGCTTGATAAGGCTATAGTTATGGCGAATAGTAGTGTTAAGGAGTTTAAGATATGATAAGGAGGTTTAATGAAATGAGATAGGAGAATAGAAGATGGGATAAGGAGTTCATATGTGGACTGTATTCATCATATATGCCAACTTACCGGAAACTTTATTTTATGTAAAGCGTCAAGCATATCGTTGGGTTGTATACCCTTTCTTCTTCTTTTGCGTCGTGTTCTGATACGTGAGTAGTCGTGATTTTATTCCTCCATAATTGGCAATTTTGTGCCTCTTGAAACGGGGTGTGTTATTTCTTTTCCCTGGTCCAGGCACCTACTTAACGATCTTCCTCTTGGTTCTACTTTTCCTTGAACTATTAATTTTCCAGGTTATAATTTCAGGTTATTTCCAGCTTTTCTGATTCTCTGACTTCCTCTCTGTCTTTCGTCAGCTGTCGTATCGTCGGCATATTGGATGTTAGTGAGTTTCTTTCCACCAATTGAAACCCACCCTACAAACCCTCCAATGTTCGTCTGATTATTTTATTAGCATGTGATATTAAGGAGATAGTTCTGTAATTTTCACATTTCATTGTGCGGCGTTTCTTATGTATGGGGATGAAAATTGATGCCCAAAAGGTTGGGCCAGTTTCTTTGTTGCATAGATCTAAAAATATATTTACAGTCGCATCGTCTGGTGCGTTGAAAATTTCTGCCTGGATTTGATCTGCTCTAGAGGCCGTATTTATCTTTAGGTGACGTATAGCTTCTATCACTTCTTCCTTCAAGATATCTGGCTCACAATCTATCTCTTCCCAATTGTTATTCAGTTATTCACTCAATTATATACATCATCAGAATACAGCACTTCACAGTACTACTGCTGTCGTGCAGTAGTATCGGTGAAGCACCATCTCGTCTATACATAATACCTTTCCATTCATATCTTCTATTGCTAAGTTTTTGATTTGAATTTCTTGATTTAATTTGATTTAATACTAAATTGTATAGTTTAATTTGTCTCATCTTGTAATGTAATCTTGGCCATAGAAATGAGATTGGTTTTGATATGGCAAATAGAAGTTTTGAGGTTCTTTGAACGGAATCTGTTGTAAAGGTAGGCGTTAAGCAATAAAAGCCCAGTTTGGCTTAACTATGGTTTTATTTGTATTTTTATAATTGGCGTAAAATAATCTGTAGGGATTTGTTGTGTCCTATTTTCTGGACAAATGCGTCATAATTTGTATAAAATGGTGTTTTGCGCAAAACACTAGATCCACTGAGTCTACTGATATAACGAAAAACTAATAGCATGTTATGAGTAGCAGAAATGTAGACCCTGAGGACAATCTCAGAAAAGATCAGATGGGTCAGAACTCGGACATCAAAGACCAATCACGTTCATAGAATGCCAGGTAACAGACTGCAGAAAATTATGATTACAAATAATCTGCCGGAATCAGACCACCAAAGAAATGGAAAGAGCTAGCAGTCAACTTCTCACAATATATTTCAGAGGCAGACCTTACCAGGAACAGCAGATCAAACGATCTACAGTAAGAAGAAGACTTTTCTTTGAGGAAAATATTATATTAAACAAATTTTCAATTTCCAATCAAGTTTATAAATTTATTTTGTTATTGAAAAACCGAGTCTACAACAATTAACAACAACATATCGATGACACAGTAAATGACACATAGTTTATTAAATTGAATTCCTTATCTTTACTAGTTTTTAATCGTATACGAATCAATCTTTTACATTTTCCATTAAATGTAAAATTGCTTTTTACTTAAACTAAGACCTAAACAGTAAGTGAGAAACTGAGTCCTATTAATATTATTACTGTATTTGTTGATATTAAACGATTTATGACTTTTCACAAGCTTTTAAGGTTACCTTAAAATCTTTAAAAAAATCCTACACGTTTGCAAATAATCAAATTTTTGAATGAACATGAACTTGGAATCTAAACAATCTTACGTGGATCATGGATTATATTGTTCTACTTTCGACATGTGAAAATTTATGAAGTTACTCCACTACATTTCGTAATTCGTTTAGCGAATTTTTGTATAAAATTATTGTTCACTTACTTTTTGCTTAACCTGTAGTAGTAATTTAAATTGTAACAATGTGGATAGACATTGTTAGAATAATAATCTATTCCATAAAGCAATGGCACCTAAATTATTTTGCTACCTTTAGTTCTTCGTTTGTGCTAATTTTATTAGGTAGTATTTTGTTGTAATGTGACATCTGATTCATCGATCTCACCGTCTGGAGCGCGTAGATTCATAATCCATTATATCCATTGTTATTTCCTTACTCAATATATCTTATATAATCTGTTTTTAAGGTCTGTATGAAGGAGCTATAAGTGCCCAATGTATTACAAACTCCATCTGCTGCTGCTGAAATTATGAATGATAAAACTATCTCTTTTTTAGTGAATTCATTAGTCTAAAATACAAAATATTAAAATTGTTTGTATCCATATTCACCAAGCAATAATCAAATTATGTGTTATTAAAAAACAATTCATACTAAGGTGATCGATTTATTATTTTATTGTCTAACCTGGTTTCGGGACCATGCCCGTCTTCGGTAGACCCTACAAAGTAAAATACAAAAAACAACAACTTTTGTTCTTGTTATCGAAACAAACGCATAAAATTAAAAAAAAACTTTACTTAGTTGAATAGGGAAATTTTTTGTATGCCGTTGGCAGAATTAACTGTTTCTTGTTGATATGAGGTTGGGCTAGCTAGTGATGCCAATGTTTCCTTGGTTCTCTTTTGAAGATTTTGAATTATCTTTCGTTTTTTATTGGGTAACACCGCCTCAAATGAGCTTGGTGGACTTATAGCATCATTACCTTATACTCTATTTTACAAAAAGCTATACTTTCTACATATTTCTTATAGGTTCAGTCATGAATAGTAATAAAGATTAGCTCTAATACAGTGTTAATATCAATATCATTCCTGAAATCGACGCCTTCCGGTATATTAGATTAACATAAACAGTCAAAATCTGTGTAAGCACATTAATTAATGAACGATAGTCTATCATTAATCTGTGTTTTAAATTGATTCTTTGTAATCTAATGATTACAAAAATAGATTATGACAGAAAAGTATCAACATTTTTATAGATTTTTGTTTGAACAAGATTAACTGAAATGATTTAATATGATGAGAAAGTGATGAAATCGGATTTCAAAGTGGTTTAATTGCGCCAAATATTAAAACATCTTATTGTAAAATGGAAAGCTAGCAATTTGAACATTTTTTAGTTACCTTTTTTTATATAAAAATACAATAGTATTATAATAAAAACTATGAAAATATTGTTGCATATTTAAGTTTTAAAATATTCACAATTAAAAATCAAAACATTTTATCTATTTAATTCCAAATAACTGTTACGAAAATACTCCAAACTCTGATTCATTGGTTGACGTCATTGTGATTGAACTAGTTTTTTGAAACATTTAAATTTCCAGAATATTCTTACTAGATAATTTGATTTTGAATTTTATCAAATCCACAATAACCAGTTATTTATTATGTATTGTTTTTAGATTGCTCAGCCCACATATTTTTGGTTAACCAAAAAAAAATTTATCTAAAACCACGCACGTGTTTTCGTGTATTTAGTAAATTTACATGTTGTTTATCAACACCGCGATGTTTATTAATTCATTCGATTTGTGTTTCGTTTAAAATCGTAATTATTTCTTTGTCATAATCGAAGTAAACCAGGTTAAAGTGTTAGTTACGATGTTACGGTACATTACAACCATTCTATACAATGAATTAACGGTTTTCTACATCTATAAGAAGATAGAAAGATCTTATTTAGTATTTTACATTATTTTAATTGATTTGTAATAAAGATACATCGTCAGTTTTATTAGGTATTTATTATTGATTTTTTTCTTAGATATTGTTGATAAATATAAAAAAAAATTGATTAAGCTTTTTAGAAATTGACCTTCATAAATTGCGGGAAGGTCCCCGTAAGTAGTCAATAACTATAAATAAACGACAACAAACTAAAAAAAGTTAAAAATGAATAAAAATAAATTCGTGTCCCTCCACAATAGTTATATCGATAGATGTCGTGTTTTCGTTTCGTTATGTTTCGTTGCGAACTTGGACGAGGTAAAGGCATATACCGTTAGGAACTCATCGTGCGAACTCAAACGGAAATATCGCGAATGATATTATGCAATATTCGGGCAGATAAACGGTGAAGCCTGTGGTAAAACGATGGGTTGCCTTTTGGGTAGAAGCCAAGTTCTCCTAGAGGTGCCAGAGGTTGAACGTAAATTATTAGGCAGCTAGGTGTCCAATTTATTTACAATTTACTTTTCAATGAATTTTTAATTTCAAACTTCAATATTTGCAAATTCTATTAAATTAAATGCTAATTTAAAAAATTATTAAATTCTAATAATAGAAATTGGGGATCTATTGAATGATTATGTTGTCAAAATTTAGATTAATTTTGTTGAATTTCTTGTGTAGTTTATGAACCATTTTTAACTCAAAAATCGTTGAATATTTATTTGAATTTAAGTTATTATTAATTTTCGTGAATTATTTGAACGAATTTGATTCAATTAAATTAAGTAATTTTTTAATAATTATAACTTCTTTAATAAAATCATTATATTGTTATTTTTTTTTAGATGGCGGATCCAGATCCTGAAACCCTTCTGGAATGGCTTAGTAGCGGCCTCGGCGATGAACGGGATATGCAACTGATCGCCCTCGAACAGCTTTGCATGTTGCTTTTGATGTCCGATAATGTTGATCGCTGTTTTGAAAGGTAAATAAGCATCTTATACTAATGTAGATTTAAAATTTTCGTTGTCCACGAAATTATCGGGGATTTTTATTAATTAATTACCCAGTGTGTATCTAAATGGACGTCTTATTTGCTGGAATCTTGGTCGCTTTTTGCACAGTTCCTTTCAAATACCGCCAACAATTGTTAAAACAACCAATCTAATTGTTGCACAGAATTTCTCACGATGTCCAGAACTTCTAGATTGGAGAAAGTTTGGTTATTAAAATATATTTTCCATATATTGAAAAATTTTGTTTTATAAATTTGCTAATTTCAAAATGTTCACCTTAAATTCCAATTACTAGTAATTGTTTTCAATAATTGCATATCATTTAATTATTGTACAAATATATTAACAAAGCCAACTTTCCAATAATACATTACAGAGTGATATGACAGTTTTTCGATCAAGCAGCTTCAGGTCGAATTGTCAGAGAATAATATCTGTCTGAAGTATACAGGTGCCCATTATGTATGGAATATAGTATACATACAGGCTGTCCCGAAACTCAACGTCAAGCGGGCACCAGGTGAGAGTAATCTATTTCTTGTGAACCATGCTACTGTAGAAGCAAAACTAACAAAAGTCGTTAGTTTTGCAAAAAAATATATTAATTTAATTGAGTTAAGGTTGAAAGAATTAATGTCTATCAAGTTTAACACACGATTTCTAAAAAAAGGAGTAGTACAACACCCTTGGCAAGTAATTTTAAAAGATGGCCTGTTTAGTCAAGTTTCCAAAATGGTACATCACTTACCATTTTTCCTGTCATAAAAAATATTGTTGCCTGTTTTTCTTCAAAAAACACGTTATTTAAAAAATACATACTGTTGTATGTTATTTGTATTTACTTTTTACTCCCTCTTAACTTTGTTAGAAGATGTGCCAGTCAATATCTACGAACTACAAAATGTGGTTTCAACAAGATGGTTGCCCTTATGTCTTGCAAAAAGACTTTTAAATAAGGTTAATCTAAAGACAAAATTAAACAAACAAATTTATTTATTATTAATTTTATAGCATTATTTTCTTAAAACTAAGGCAAATGCTTAAATTATTTGCCGTCGGCACTAATACAAGTTCTGCGTCGTCACAGAAAAGATCTTTTTACTAATTGTGCAAATCTCTTTGCATTTATTTCTTCTGCTGCTGTATAAATATTGTGGCTCAATCGGTTTTTAATACACTGTTTCTTTTATGCAATTCTAATAAGAAAATCAAAGGGATTTAGACCCAGAGAATGAGGAGGCCACGTAATCGAACCACGACGCCCAATCCATCTTTCTGGGTATTCTGTATGCAATCCCATACAAGACAAGCATAGTGAGCTGGGCAACCATCTTGTTGAAACCACATTTCTCTGTAGATATAGAGTGGCACATTTTCTAACAAAGTTGTTAAATCATTTTGGAGGAAATACAAATAACACACGAAAGTATAAATTTTTTAAATAACGCGTTTTTTGCAGAAAAACAGGCAATCATATATTTTAGTAAAAGAAAAATGGCAAGTGTTATACCATTTTGAAATCTTGACTAAACAAACTTTTAAAATAACTTGCCGAGGTGTTGTACTACTCCTTTGTTTAGAAATCGTGTGTCAAACTTAATAGACATAAATTCTTTCAACCTTAACTCAATCAAACTAATACTTTTTTTTGCAAAACTAACGACTTTTGTTGTTCGATTTGTGACTGATATAGTAGCATCATTAGGAATACATTATTAAAAAAATCACTATTAAATTTCTGACCATAGTACCTAAAGATATGATGTACAGGAACGATTTTTAACATTTTCAAAAATGTGTCTATTACCACTTAACTAAAAGACATAGAATTTTTTTCTTATTTTTACCAGAACAGGTATGGGTTGGCCTCTCACCTGGTGCCCTCTTGACGTTGAGTTTCGGTACACCTGTATATCTCGGTGCAATGTTGACTTTCTAAAAAAACTTTTTATAGAAAGGTTGTTTAATATTTTATTTGCCATAATAAGACAGCATTCAATTGTTTTTATTTCAGAAAACAAATTAGCAACGAATAACGGTTGATTTTTTTTAGAGAAATACTAAATAGTTTGTACCAAGGTAATCAAAACAATTGCTTTAGCCAGAACGGATTTTGTTAATATAATTCAAAACCAATTGAGTACCTGCAGTGTTTAGGTAGTGATCTCAAGGTAAAGATTGTTAGGGCAAGCATAAACACGCTTTTCCTATAACAAGCTAATCAAGGTGGAACGTGTATCTCCTTACCTTTCATAGAGTATCTTTTATCCTTGAAATTCATTTTAATCCTATTTCTTCCATTTCTTTTGCTTATAACGACCACTATTATCAACATGGTTATATTCAAAGGGTTTGCATAGATTGACTTTTGAAATGCACTTCATCTTCACCACCTTCAAATTTACTATTGAAGTACAAGCTAATCTATGCTCTTCGATTGTACATCACGTCTTCTTTGCAAGATCTTTTGAGGCTCGTAATGATCTTAAGTTTTTATTGTTTTCATCGATAAGTTCAATTATAAGTTCTTAAAATATCGTTTCTCAACATTTAAGGTGTGGTTTACCCTTCATCAAAGAGATTAAATGTCGTTCTTGTACAAAATTTGTACAGGCTGTTATGCAAAAACTCAACCAACATAAGGTTGATTGTTGATATCATAATATAGATCAGAAAATTAATTTTAAAACGCCCTTTATTTTATTTCATGGGCCTAGGTGTAGAAAACGTAGTAGAAATGTTCTTTATTCACCAAGAATCATTCAAAACTTAAGTGTCATAAATAAATATTTTTTGTCGATAAAATCCCATGCTGATTATTTACGAATCTCTGAAATTTACTTCTAACATTTTCGCCTGAGTGTAAGTGTACTAAACATTCCTTTTATAGAAATGATCCTTGTCCTTTCCCTTTCCTATTTAAGTCTTTGACCTTATATTACCTTTTTTGCATACTTTTACTTGATATGGAACACATAAAAACTCTATATGTAATAAATTTTAAGGAACAGGTCAAGTGTTTCTTGCGCCTTTTACTTTGTACAGGAGTTCCTCACAAGTTCAATGGAAGTACGCTTGATTGGTATTAAATTAAGCCTCTAAATGTATTGAACATATTGCTTAGTGAATACAACTGATTATAAAGAAGTCAATATTTTTTGTATTAAATATTTATGTAGACAAATAAAAGTATTGTTATTAATAATAAATTTCGGTAATAATAACTACTTTAGGTGCATATATCACCATCATCAGAAATCTTGTCATAAAAATAGCTTAGATGGATATAGTATATTTGAATCCTCCTCAGCAATTTTAATTTCAATTTAATTAATATGGAATTAGTTTAATTGTTAAGTTTCATAAGGAAAATAAGTTTCTGTCGTGTTTAAACAGTGCGCTGCTCTTATGTGCAATGTTCAACCCTCCTTGCACAGTATAGACTGTTAAAAACCTAAATTTTCGTTCGAAACACCAACTTATTTTCGAAAAACGCAAAAATTTGATTTTACTTAAAAATCCTAATTATTTTTTTAGAATTGAAATAATAAATAAGGTGAATAGTTTTTTATTAATAACATAAACAAGACAATCATCTAAAAAATAGAAATTGGACAAAAGGAATAAACTTAGATAAGTACTATCAAATAATATGCTAATAATCTGAGATTATTCTTAAATAACTTTAGGTATAACCCATACGTTTGGGATTGCTTTTGTATCAATAAACTAAAAATGTTGTCATTTGAAATACATAAATTTAACTCAGCCATGTTTATGATTTGAACAAGTATTCCTCATCAACTAAAAGAAAAAAAAGAATATTATTTTGTTCAATGATTTTAATGACAAAACCATACCAGTTTTAATACCATCACCATCTAGAAATCTAGTGATTTCTAAAAAAAAATTTCTAATGATCCAGAAGTAGTCTTAGAAATGTTATCGGCAATAGGTGAACAATAGGCTTTGGAAGAGTATTATAGTTTGCCATAAAAAGCATAACTTCCCTAGTTTTCTTGATGATTAACGTATAAGTCAAAAATACCGAAGGGTATATTTTGATTGGTTTTATGCCCTAATATTTTTTTCAAATTGGTTTCATTGGTATATCAATAAATAGTCGCCAATCCTGTCAGTTGTGTACTGCACACATTGGTGTTACATCAGACATCAGATCATCAGATCATCGACATATCTACATTGAACTCTTCACTCTTAAATCAAGGGTGCAACTCGGCGTTCATGTAAAAGTGTTTCAGAGTTATCATGTTTCTTTAACTGTGAAATAAAATTTTAAGTATTCCCCAAAACATAATCGAGTTGTATTCATTCTCTTTTGAACAAAGGCTATGTGATACTTTTTAAAAAAATGTTTTTTTTTTCTTTATATCGGTGTTCCAAATATGTATGCAAAAACATTTTTTATTAATTTATGTATAAATTGAAAATAATTTTTCCATTTTCTTTTACAGTTGTCCACCGCGTACCTTCTTGCCTGCTCTTTGCCGCATTTTCCTAGATGAACAAGCCCCCGAAAACGTATTGGAAGTCACAGCTCGCGCCATCACATACTACTTAGATGTTTCAGCAGAATGCACCCGAAGAATTGTCGCAATGGATGGCGCGGTGAGAGCAATTTGCAACCGTTTGGTCGTTGCAGAATTAGCTTCCCGTACCAGTAAAGATCTCGCTGAACAATGCGTTAAAGTGCTCGAATTAATATGTACACGAGAAGCGGGGGCTGTATTTGAAGCTGGCGGACTTAGCTGTGTTTTGCCATTCATTCGAGATAACGGTTTGTTCAAGAAGATAAAAATTAATATTTTTTTACTTTTTTTTTTTCATTAATAGGTAATCGTGTACACAAGGATACCTTACATTCTGCTATGGCTGTCGTATCGAGGCTTTGCACGAAAATGGAACCCGGCGACGTTAATTTACCGACGTGCGTTCAAGCTTTGAGCACGCTTTTAAGACACGAAGATCAACATGTCGCGGATGGAGCTTTGCGTTGTTTTGCTTCAGTTGCCGATAGATTTACTAGAAGAGGTGTTGATCCAGCTCCACTTGCCCAACATGGTTAGTATAGTATTACAGGCTATTATCTTATTAATATTAACATTAAACATATTTTTCTTATTGAAATAGGTTTAGTTACTGAATTATTAACTCGCCTATCAAATGCCGCCGGCCCAGCTGTAGCAACAGGAACACAAGGGACACCGGGAAAGGCAACGTCAACAACGAGTACCGCAGCGAACCTTCCAAGCGATCCAAAAGCAACCGCCTCAAGCGTTTCAACAATAATCAGCTTGTTATCGACTCTATGTCGAGGATCTCCCTCCGTTACACACGATTTATTAAGATCTGAATTACCAGATTCAATAGAAAAATCTTTAAAAGGAGACGAACGGTGTGCTTTAGATTCAATGAGATTGGTCGACCTTCTTTTAGTATTACTCTTCGAAGGAAGACGAGCTTTAGGCAAATCCGGATCGTCATCCAGCTCCGGACAATTAATGCCTAGAATACGGCGAATGGATTCGGTGGCCGAAAAATCACACAGGCAACTCATCGATTGTATTCGATCAAAAGATACAGACGCTTTAATCCAGGCTATTGAAGATGGAGGAGTTGAGGTTAATTTTATGGACGATGTAGGGCAAACGTTATTAAATTGGGCGTCGGCTTTTGGAACAGTTGAAATGGTTGAGTATCTTTGCGATCGAGGAGCTGACGTTAATAAAGGTCAAAGAAGTTCTTCGCTTCATTACGCTGCGTGTTTTGGTCGACCGGCGATTGCCAAAGTTTTACTTCGATATGGGGCTAATCCAGATCTTCGGGATGAAGATGGAAAAACCCCACTGGATAAAGCAAGGGAAAGAGTTGATGAAGGTCATCGCGAGGTAGCTGCTATTTTACAATCACCCGGGGAGTGGATGATACCAATTGATAAAGATATTTTGAGAAAATCTGATATTGAACCGGAAGATTGTTTAGAACCGAAAGGTGATCCGGAGATGGCACCGATTTATTTAAGGAGGCTTTTGCCGGTGTTCTGTGCAACTTTTCAAGCGACCATGCTGCCGTCAGTGAGGAAAGCCAGTCTGGGACTTATAAAGAAGATGATCCACTGCATTCAACCCAGTTTACTTGAGGAATTATGCTCGCCCGAGTCCAGTGCTCCAAATTTTGGTACGCAACTCGTCGAAGTGATCGCTACAGTATTGGATAATGAGGTAAGATACATCTAAATATTAAAGAGAGGTCATAATAAGATTAATTGTTGTTTACAAGTGTTGGTAGTTGTACAATGAATAAATAAATTAAAATGATGTGTTACAATTAAAAAAAAAAAAAAACTCGGTTTAGAATGGTGTTTGATAATGGTGTATTATAACATAATTTTTTCTTCAAACGTTATATTACTAATTAAAGAAAAAAACATTTGGAGAAAAATTGTTAGAATAATTATATGCATGATTTTTGTATTAAAAATTGGATAAAAAAGTAGTATTCTCATAAGTAGTGTTTAATAATTTTTAATTGTCCTTTTCCAATGTTCCTTAATTGAGCTTGTTTTTTTTTATTTTTTCATTCCTGCCGCACTTGCGTAGCCTTGTAGAGACCTTGTATTTATTATTGACCCTGCTGCGTTTTGCAGATTACTTATAGTTGGCCAACTCCTGCTGCCACACGCGGAGTGACACTGAGCGTGTTTGTACGCACTGTTAGGGCTACTTTTTCGCATGACAGGCACATAGTACACTCGTCTCAGCCCGTGACGGTTAGTTCTCTTCCCGTTTTTTAATTACCTACCGCCTATTTATTATTATCTACCACGCATTTTGATTTATATATTTTTTAATAAAATTAATACTCTCATCTTTAAACCACCCACGAGTGTGCATTTTTTTTGTTAACCACAATCTAAATTAATGTGCCACAATGTAAATCTTTTTTGTTGTATTGTATATTTTTGTTTTTTTTTAATTTGGTAGATATTTGATTTTTTTGGGCAACTGGTTGCGTTGTTTAACATTGTATTAGTAAAATCTATAATCACTGCAAAACTGATTGCCCAAAAAAAATTAATTATAAAGTCTTTATTTGTAATATTTTTTTGTTCTTAACAGGAAGACGAAGACGGCCATTTAGTAGTATTAGCGATTATCCAAGATTTGATGTTAAAAGCTCAAGACATCTTTTTGGATCATTTCGCCCGTTTGGGTATATTCTCGAAAGTTTTAAGTCTGACTGGTCCCGCTGATGTGTTGGAAAGCAACGAAGAAACTGAACAAGCATCGGAACAAGGTTAGAATAAAATCATTTTTCTTTCTTTCTCTCTCTCTGTTCCTTTAGTATCATGGCAATCCCGTCATCCTAAGCCGCCGCCAATCCTTCCGAAAAACAAATCAAAAACCAGTTAAAATTCCAAAAAAATTGAAATTTATGCCCTCGACTTAACACTCATCCCTCCTGCGTGTTGTTCCAGATGTGACGGAACAGTCTCAGGCGGAAGACGCGAAGGAAGTGCTGGCGGGCAAAGCGTACCACTGGAAGGATTGGTGCGTGTGTAGGGGTCGCGATTGTCTTTATATTTGGTCGGACGCGGCCGCGCTCGAACTATCTAACGGCTCGAACGGTTGGTTTCGCTTCATACTCGACGGCAAACTGGCCACTATGTACAGCAGCGGTTCGCCAGAGGGTGGCGCCGACACTTCTGGTAGGTTTACACTAATTGTTTTTTTTATTAAAAAAATAGTTACAGCAATGGTTTGATATCACATCTTTTTTTGATCATATTTCATTTTCTTGTTCATATTGGCGAAGTTATTCCTTAATTTAGCCCTTTAACGTATACCGAGGATTTTAACTCAAATTATTCCTTTAATAAATACTATTTATTTTTAAATTCATCGAATTAAAAAAATACTATGATTAAAATTCTTTAAAATAAATACAATTGTGATTTTTTAATAAAAGCATGTGTTCAAAAAAATCATATGAGAATTAACTTTGAAACTTCCTTTCATTTCCAATTTATAAGTTAATGGTAAATAATATGAGACACTGATTAGCTGTCCTAAATGCTACAACTGCATATCTTGTTTTTAAATTTTGAATGCAATGTTACTTAAAATTCGTTATCAGCATTATTATTAAAGTTGGGAGGAAGTACTGGTTGCACTTGTTAAGAGTAAGGAATTATTGGGTTTACAACCAACAGGGGGGTTCAATTAAAAGACCTCCTTTTTCTGAGTTTGGAGTTCATTTGTAACGCGTGGTTGTTTCGCTACCCCTTTCACCAAAGATCGTGGTGAAGATTGTCATTTCGAGGGATCTAAAGTCAACATTATGTTTTTAAAACATAATTAACCTCTATACCGTGCCCTGAAGAAGATTTAGAAATTAAATCGAAAGCTTGGCTCAGAAAAAGGAGGTCTTTTAATTGAACCTCCCTGTTGGTTGTAAACCCAATAATTCCTTACTATTATTATTAAATATTGAAGATTGTAATTTGACATGTCGATAAACAATGCTTGGGTCTTTCGAAGCCCGCTAATACTATTGGATGTTACTATATAGGTGTTCATCAGAAGCGATTAATTTATGCAAAGATTGGAGAATCATAACTTTGTTATTTTAAATGAAACATCCTATATTTTTTAATCCTATATTAATAAGGCCTTATTAAAAACCATTCATTTTTGTTAAGTATATATGTCTAATACGTGTACTTTCTAAGATAATTAGACTATTTTAAAAATGTCGGCATAATGGTGATTTATTTACAAGAAGTAGGCTGTGAATTTCACAAACGACAATTTTCAACAAATGTAAGTAAGTTTATTTCGTAAAAGAGAAAAAAATGTACATAGGTACACGACAATAGCATTAAAAAATAAATGAAGTATTAAGTAACAATTAGCAACAAAACAAAATTATAGTAAATGTTCGATATAGCTTCCTTATTGTTGAACACAAATTTTAATTGATTCCTCATATTTTCTTTTGTTGTTGATGGTTCTCCAAATACCAAGCTCTTTATATATCTTTCTTGAAGTTTTTCAAATGCTTCAACCTCAAGGATTCCTACGCTCTGGCAATTGTTGCGCGTAAATTCATCAAGCAAGAAAAGGATTTTGTTCTCTCGCACCCAAGGAATATACCATATCAATAAGTTCTTTATTGATTATTACCTTATTACTTTTTAGTTATTAAAATTTATTTTAATCAAACAATAGATTTTAGAAACACGTTACGAACAAACGTTAGAAAAATAAAACTTAATTGTTTAACATTTCAAATTCCTACAAAAATTTTTTCATAGCTTCTTGTGAATAAATCACGTTTATGCCGTCATTTTTAAAACAATCTTATTATGTCGAAAAGTACACGTATTAGATATACTATATACATAACAAAAATGAAAGGTGATTAATAAGGCCTTCCGAAACCTTAGAAAAATACGGGGTGTTCCATTTAAAATAACAAAGTTATGGTTCTCCAAACATTGCATAAATTAATCGCTTTTGCTAAACACCCTGTACAATGATATCCAATAGTATGAACAGTGTTCGAAAGACCCAAGCTTTGTTTATCGACACCCCAAATTGCAATCTTCAATATTCAATATTAATGCAGATAACGAATTTTAAGTGACCCCATAAATTTTCAAAAATTTTCACCAAATAATTATTAACTTGGCAACCTTGTGTTCAAAATTTGCATTAAAGGCAGCTAATCAGCATATATAAAAAAATACTAGAGTTCCATTTAAAAAAAAATAATGTGACTACGGTCCTGGAATAGTGAAACACCCAGTATAGCTGAAAATAATTTTAATCGATGCAGCTTTGATGCAGCTTCGATGGCATAAAAACATTTTTTTTATTTTCATCAGTAAAGCCACTATCTTCCGTCCCCGCACTATTACACTGCCATAGCTATTTTCAAAGATAATGCTCATCAATCATACATCGACAAGTACATCGTCCCTAATATCATTTTATGAACCTTAAGTTCATGATCTCTTAACACTAACATGCCTTCCCTCAGCATCTTCTCTCTCATTCGTGAGTGCCGTCCTTCATATTTAATTATCACCTCAAACATCGTAGAGCATAGTTATTACTCATTATCTTCGTCAGAATTAATGTCCAGCATATTTGACCTACATTCGTATTTGCTGTTTCTTTCCACGCATTGTTTTCTTATTTTGATCTTTATAATCCTTATTCTTGGGGTTATATACGCAAGGGTGGCGTCCTACGAGCTGTCCTTAATTATTTACAAGCTGTCAATTTGAGAACGTTTTGCAGCCGCTTCGCTGTAAATGTCTCTGTCGCCTCGCCACAGTCACGTTATTGACAATTCGTCGATGTAATTCTGTAGAAATCAGTAACACGCGCAAAAATCACCACAGTCGCGTGTGTGTAGTTGCATGGCTATAGTCGTTGCAGTCGCATTATTCGCACTGTCCTTGCAGCGAGATTAGGCCTTTGATGTTTGACAACTATTTGGTGCGCCAGAAACGTGTCCTTATAGCCTTAAGGGTCGCTACTGGCTTTTGCAGCCGGTTTGTCTAGACTGTACCATTATTCTTCCTCCTTATCATTCTCAGAGACCGTACAAAAGAATTGAAGGACTGATTGAGAATAGAAACGGAGGAACACGAAATCTAATAAGTATTTCATCAAAACTAGTTTCATCATGAATTGTGTAGATTTCTTTATAGTTTTTCTAAAATAGTTATAATAGTGGAAATATTGTTTGGTAATATCTTGTACTCCAGATAATATAAATCTTAAAGATATTTCTTTATAGTTCTACAATTGGTTTGTTTTTGAACAATTTTCCATGACTTAATTCCAATACCTTACAGATCATTAGATTTTTCAATGAAAATATGTTAGACGATTTTTAGATGATTTAGTTAAATACCTATAAAACTTTTGTATTCAACTTTTATGCAATATATATATATATATATATATATATATATATATACAGGTGTTTCTAAATTGATGCGAAAGATTTCAAGCGGTGATTTTACAGCAAAAATTAAGGGGTGTCTCTCATATAACTTTTTGTTCATAACCCTTTCTCCTCCAAGTTATAGCCCTCTAAAGTTAAGGGTAAAAATCTGCAACTTTTTTATCTCTTGACATTTTACAACTAACAAATTGTTAGTTTGATCACAAAAAATAAAATAGTGTTAAGACCCAATCTCTGAATTAATTCACTTGAGCCTGTGTATTATTTTATTTTTTTGTGAGCAAACTAACAATATTAGAAGAAAATGTCTATTTAAATCAAGTTTCTAAATAGAAAAATGTAGATGCATTAACTAGTTCTGATGCAAAGCATTATATGGATTTTTTTCAGCCCCTTCTAATAACATTTTCGGGTTAGAAAAATCGTCAAAAAGTGTCATTTATTAGCAACAGTTATCTGCCAAATTTCATTCTTCTAAATACCTGTATAGTGGATTTATGAAATAAAAACCATTTTTTCTCCTAACTGTAGAGTGCTGTAACTGAGTGGGGAAGGGGTTTTGAATAAAAAGTTATATGAAAGACTCTCCTTAATTTTTGCTGAAAAATCACTCCTTGAAATCTTTAGCATCAATTTAGAAACATCCTCCTGTGTATGTATAAATTAATAACTAAAAGCGATTATAATCATTTTATGCGTTAAAGGGTTAAAGCGAAAAGTGATTGAGAAATTGTTTGGTTCTTTTTAACTAGGTTTAGTTTCATACAACCATTTCTCGATCTCACATATATACAGTGTCCCGAAACTCAACGTCAAGCGGGTACAGGGTGAGAGGCCAACCCATACCTGTTCTGGTAAAAATAAGAAAAAAAATCCATGTCTCTTAGTTAAGTGATAATAGACATATTTTTTGATTTGTTACTTCTGTAGTAGTATGGTTAATAAGGATTACATTATTAAAAAAAAATCATTATTAAATTGCGAAAATTTCTAACCGTGGTACCTAAAGATATAATCTACGGAAACGATTTTTAACATTTTCAAAAATATGTCTATTACCACTTAACTAAGAGACATGGAATTTTTTTATTATTTTTACCAGAACACGTATGGGTTGGCCTCTCACCCGGTACCTTCTTGACGTTGAGTTTCCCTGTATAATTTTTATTTTGGTTTTAAATTAAAACTTTTAGCATGCAATTGTATAGAACATTTTTGCATTATGGGCCTTGAATAGTCAATTATTTTGATATTAAAGCTTCCCGTAAGTAGACACTCGTATTCAAGAAATGTTAAATTAAATAAAACAGATAAGTATCTAAGTTACTGTGTTTATTTCAGAGAGTTCTATTCGGATACGGACCTATCAGGATTGGTAAATCCCACATAAAACATCCAAACAAAATACTCATAATTTATGTGAGATTTATGCGTTCCTAAAAGTGTTTATCCCGATAGAACTTTCGTAATAAATGTGGTAAAGTAATTCTTTAGATATGCTTTTAGTTTTGTTATGAAAGGGTAATGTAAAATTAGAGATCCAGAAGTTGTTTATATTAAGGTAAAATCACTTTCAGCTCTTAAAAATCACCATGTATTTATTTTATGGTGTTTATACTGACGATTCCATCCGAATAAGATACATCCGGTTTATTCGGCAATTTATCATTTTTTAATTTTATTTCGTTGATTTTCGTTAAGTTAATTAATCCGGATGTCTCAGTACGAATAGAACTGTCGAAATAAATATAAGTTTTTTTCTTTGTTTTGTGAATGAAATATTTTGTTATTTGTAGATAAAGTCGTTTTGTTCTGACCTTTTTCCATTTTTTATCCCAACGTGTTGTAACACAAGTGATTGTTGTTTTTGTTTCTTTTGATAGGCAAGGGTCGGTCCACTGATACACATACAACAGACGGTAAGTGCTTGAGTTTTTTTTTCTGTATGTAGTTATCATTTAGATGCTTCCCACACGCTTGTGCTCTTCATTTAAATATTTTTATTTTCATCAGTTAATTTTATAATAATTATAATTTTTTTTAAATACTTTTCATTTTTCTTTTCGCATAAATGTGTTCAAAAATAATATATAAAACTTATTAATAAAAATTAATTGAGTTTGGTTTCATTATTATTTCAGAAAACCGTGGGGAATTCCTTGAAAAGCTTCAAAAAGCGAGAGCTGCCGTTAGAAACACCACAAATTCTCAACCGATTTTGTCAAAACCCGGTCAAACAAGATTGGTCGTTGGAAATTGGTCTTTGACGTCTCGCCGTGATGCAGAATTGCATATTCACAATTCAGACGGTCAACAACAAGCGACAATCTTACGAGAAGATCTACCGGGATTTATTTTTGAATCAAACAGAGGGACAAAACATTCATTTACGGCCGAAACAAGTTTAGGTCCCGAATTTTCTACCGGTTGGTCAAATAAACGTGGAAAACGTTTACGTTCTAAAATGGAAGCTACGAAACAAAAAGTTAAATATCAAGCCCAAGCTATTTATGATCAATATTTTAAAGCTGCTCAAGCACAACCTCGTGGTGTTGTTGCAAAATTAGGAAACATTGTAGCCCAAATTGAAAGAGCTTGCCAAAAACAATCGTCTTACGGAAACAATCGAGAAGGCGGAAATTCATGGAAAGAAATTTTACGGAACGCTTTGGATGAGTTGACTCAAATCCTTCAAGAAGACGGTGTTGTTAGTGCTTATGAATTGCATTCATCCGGTTTAGTACAAGCTTTATTATCGATGTTATCCACGAGTTATTGGGATCAAGGTTTGAAATCGACGAAAACTAATAAACACCAAAAACAAAGAGTACAAGTATTTAAAAAATGTTTTGAAGATCAAAATGAACCCGAACATAGCCCAACATCAATTTTAGTACATAAATTGATATCTGTTTTAGAAAGTATCGAAAAATTACCAGTTTTTCTTTATGATACTCCAGGAACGGGTTATAGTTTACAAATTCTTACGAGGCGGTTACGATTTCGGTTGGAAAAAGCACCTGGAGAAAGTTCGTTAATCGATCGAACGGGACGAGGTTTAAAAATGGAACCGCTTTCAACGGTAGCCCAATTAGAACGTTATTTATTAAAAATGGTTGCAAAACAATGGTACGATTACGACCGGGGAACTTTTCAATTTTTGAAAAAACTTCGAGAGTCAAAATATCAAAATTTCAAACACAATCATGATTTTGATGAGAATGGATTGATGTATTTCATTGGAACGAATGGAAAAACTTGTTCCGAATGGGTCAATCCCGCTCAATATGGTTTAGTTGTCGTTACAAGTTCCGATGGAAGAAATTTACCATATGGAAGAGTTGAAGATATCTTATCCCGAGATACCTCCGCTTTAAACTGTCACACAAACGATGATAAACGGTCTTGGTTTAGCATCGATTTAGGATTATTCATTATCCCTAGCGCTTACACTTTACGCCACGCTCGAGGATATGGGAGATCGGCGCTTAGAAATTGGTTATTTCAAATGTCACGAGATGGCGTTACATGGACTACTTTATACACACATACGGATGATACAAGCTTAAACGAACCTGGTTCTACGAGTACTTGGCCTATTGAAACAACAGCCGATGAATATCAAGGTTGGAGACATATTCGCATTCAACAATGTGGAAAGAACGCCTCTGGACAAACACATTATCTTAGTTTATCTGGTTTTGAAATTTATGGGCAAGTTACGAGTGTTTGTGATGATTTGGGTAAAGCCGCAAAAGAAGCTGACGCGATTTTAAAGAAACAAAGAAAACTTTTAAAAGCTCAAATGTTAAAACACATCACCGTTGGAGCGAGAGTTGTTCGTGGAATGGATTGGAAATGGCGAGATCAAGATGGGAACCCACCAGGAGAAGGTACAGTCACGGGAGAACTTCATAGCGGTTGGATCGATGTAACTTGGGATCATGGAGGTTCAAATTCGTATCGAATGGGAGCTGAAGGAAAATACGATTTAAAGTTAGCTCCGGGATTCGATACAGATCATTGCCAAAAATTTAAATTCAAAGATAAAGCTGATAAACAGTCTGTTCTAACGAGTCGAAAAAGTTCGTCAACGCCTAGTTTACCGGAAGCAACAGACACGAAAGCTTCCGTTGCTTCAACAGAACAAGCAGCCTCCGCTGATAATTTAGCAGCGAAACAAGCAGCTGAAACCATCGCAGAATCTGTCCTCAGCGTAGCTCGTGCAGAAGCGATCGTTGCTGTTACATCTGAATCTCAAGCGGCGAATAATGATTCTGAATTATCAGTTGTTGTGCATCCATTAAGAGATCCTCATCATGATTTATCGGCGATAAATAATTCAATTTCAAGCGATTTAGCAACGATTGTTGAAACATTAACTCTATCAGAAACGAAACCTGCTAACTTTACATATGCGAGGAGGCAACAAAGTTGTACTGAAGACACACCGAATACTTCAGATCAACACAAAGCTAATTTAGTTAGCAGTAATTCTTCTTCGAACTTGAATAAACCAATTCATGCAAGTAGAAGTAAAACAAGTCAAGTTGCCGCCGCTGCGGCTCAATCTTTTGTAGAGGCTTTGGATAAAATCCGAGAAGGATCGGATATTTTTAGGAATAATGCCAACAGTTTATTATCAGGTAAGATTTCTTATCTTTTAACATTTAAGCCAATTATCACAAAACAAAATGTACACACTTATATTTTAAGCAGAAAAAGTTTAACGTTCATTTTTCGACCTGTTGACCTTCTAGGAGTCCGGATTTCCGTGACAGGTAACCAGGAGCCGACCGACGAAGACGGTTCAAAGAAATTGAAAAACGACACGACCGCCGCCCCCACAACGACTACAGCTCGAGCTCAAAGCGTCGACAAAGACGACACTGTAACGAATAATGCTCGCAACAACAGCAGCAACAATTGTCCGATCGTCGTCACGAATCCGATGAGCGTAAGTGTACCTAACCTTACATCGTCCGAAGCCGGAAATCAAATCGAACCTTCATCGGCCGCCGGCCTTCTTGAAACGTTTGCCGCTCTCGCTCGAAGACGCACCTTGGGTAGCGTTTCAACAACAGCAAATCCATCGAATACAACCGGAAATAATACTTCGACGGGCGGAATTACTACTTCGACGATTCAAAATAATACGAATTCTAGTATTTATCCGAGAGGGCCTAATTCTGTTTCTAGTTTGGTTCGTTTAGCTTTGAGTAGTAATTTTCCGGGTGGTTTATTGAGTACTGCTCAAAGTTATCCTAGTTTATCATCTAGTAATAATGCTACTAATCAATCTTGTGGTATTCCTACAACTGCCGGAGCTGCTCAAGGATTGAGTCAAGCGTTAACTATGAGTTTAACTTCAACTAGTAGTGATAGTGAACAGGTAAGATAAAAATAAATTTATAAAAACAAACATTAAATCCGGCTCCATATTCCTAATCCATTTTTATGTAAGTAATGTTTCCTTTATTTTCGAATATATCTAATATTTTTGATCTTATATCAATAACCTTGAAGGTAATCAACATTTAAAACGTTACTATGATTTTGCTCAAATAAATCAAAGGCCCTTCCGCGTGGAAGTTAAAAATTTCAATTACTATGCGAGTTACACGTGTATGGCACTCCGCATGGAAGAGTTAAGCATACTTTGAATACTTGATCTTTCTCATTTATACCGGTGTGAAAACAGCACGCCAAACATAGCAACCCGTTTTACCGAAGACATCCGAGTATAGGCTAATGTCGGTTTTACACGATCATTTTTAGGTAAAATAAAAAGTATAACCCCACATAAACCAGAATGTGCTCCGCGAATCTGACTACTGTAAAGTGTATATAAAACTACCCCTTATGAAATAGAGTGGTCAGATTTTGTTGCGGTAATTTCAATCAAAATTAAAATAATTTCAGATACAATTTTAAGTAGTCAAATCAGCGGAGCACATTTGCGTTTACTTGTGGCGGAGTTTTTTCGTTTGGGGGTGGGAAAACCGTCTTTAGGAAATGAGTGCAACAAAATCTGGCCTCGCTATCTTGTAGAGGGTAATTTTATGTACAATTAGCAGTAGTCAGATACGCGGAGCACATTTGCGTTTACTTGTGGCCAACTTTTTCGCTATCTCACGCTATCTCATAGGGAGTAATTATAGGTATATTTTACAGTCATCAGATCCGCGAAGTGCAATCTCGTTTACACGTGAGGCTTTTTTTTCTTGGGGGTGGCTAAAAGCGTCTTTAGGAAATGACCGCAACAAAATCTGATCACTCTATTTCATAAGGGGTAGTTTTAGATACACTTTACAGTAGTCAGATTCGTGGAGCACATTCTCGTTTATGTGGGGTTATACTTTTTATTTTACCTAAAAATGATCGTGTAAAACCGACTTTAGCGTATATTCGGATGTCTTCGGTAAAACGGGTTGCTATGTTGGGCGTGCTGTTTTCACACCGGTCTCATTTACATTGTCTTATTATATTGTGTCAATTCTATCTTATTTGACAATAAATATCTATAATTAACATTCTAGACATGCCACAATTTTTATAACTTTCATCAATATTCTTTGCTAAACATCGTCTACCTTACATGAGGTTTCTATTTTACCCATTGTTCGAAATATTTCACAACATGAATGACAGTATAAAAATTACTCTACGTTCCTTCTTCTCCTTTTCTCTCTCCTGAGTAGGAGAGCCTATGCGACCATCTCGCAATCTGATAACTGATACGTCATGCTTAATGCAAAGTGGTTGTTCATAAATTCGTTATGTTATTAATCACTGTGTACTGTTCCAGTTATGACCTTCTTTGATGTTGCAAAATCAAATCTTGTATAAATCCTGTGTTCAATAGTTCTCTTCTCTTCATTACCTTATTCAATGGTAAACTTGAATGATGAAAACAGTTATTCTTGTATTGAGAGCTCAGTTCTTATAATAATTTAAGCTCGGATGGTTAGTGTATTAATTGTGTATTCTACTACAAATCCTTCTTTATGTGATACATCCATGAAGAAAGCATTTTCTTCATACTTTTATAAGTTACTTAATTTGAGTGATTTGATAGATAAGGTCTAGTTTGAATCGTTGTAATTTACAAATTATTAAGGAGGGTAGAGCAACAAATATACTCATTACCTCTTGATAAATTTATCCGATAGATAAATTGGCGCTCTTAGGTCCATTACTACCATCTTTTAGATAAATTTATCTTATAGATAAACCCATCTACTAGCCAATCATAGCACGTAAAATAGCCGTAACCGTGGTAATAATCCCTTAGATAGCTTAACCAGAAGATGGTAGTAACGAGCCTAAGGCTATCTAAGGGATTATTACCACGGTTACGGCTATTTTAAGCGCTCTGATTGGCTAGTAGATGGGTTTATCTATAAGATAAATTTAACTAAAAGATGGTAGTAATGGACCTTAGGCTCATTACTACCATCTTCTGGTTATGCTATCTAAGGGATTATTACCACAGTTACGGCTATTTTGCGCGTTCTGATTGGCTAGTAGATGGGTTTATCTATAAGATAAATTTAACTAAAAGATGGTAGTAATGGAGCTAAGGTAAAAATTTATCTTATAGATAAACCCATCTACTAGCCAATGGACCTTAGCTCCATTACTACCATCTTTTAGTTAAATTTATCTTATAGATAAACCCATCTACTAGCCAATCAGAAAGCGTAAAATAGCCGTAAATGTGGTAATAATCCCTTAGATAGCATAACCAGAAGATGGTAGTAATGAGCCTTAGCCAATAAGAGCGTTTAAAACAGCTGTAACCATGGTAATTATCTATCGGTTAAATTTATCAAGAGGTGGTAAAAGTGGGCCTTAGTTAGTTTAGAATAGTGGTGGAAGGGATATCCGGAAACTATTCGGTATCTGGCCAATCTACATCGTTTATTTAAAAATAATACATTTTTTGATTTCATTACTAAATTTTTACGCAGCCGTGAACCCTGTTGATGGCTGTAAGACAATACTAAACAAGTTGAGTGTGCAAACGTTATCTCTATAATTGCATATGGCATTATGAGCTGCTCCTTCAGGCATGTGACATACAAACAGGTTTATTGATATATCAACGGGTAAGTCTAGAATTTCTTCTGGTTGTTCTATAGAACAAGTTTCTTCTGCTGAAACCCGTAATTTTTTCCTACGATTTCAACTTGTACTTAGAGGTATCTCTCTATGGCTCTATATACCGAACCGAACCTTGACCTCCCTCAACCTTTGCCTCTAATTTTCCCTACATTGGCTTCTCCCTTCCAGTTTCTGCCCCGGATTGTCTCCTTAGCGTGTCGGTCGACTGCATCATCCGATTAGACGGCTGGCATTCTCTCTTCTCCCATTCTAATCACATGACCAGCCCATCTTAAACGTTGGATTCTGATAAATTCCGATAATGCCGGGTCCTTCTAAATACGGTACAATTCATGTTTGTATCTTTATCTCCATATATTATTTTCTTGTACTGGCCCTACTATTCTTCTTAACACGTTAGCTGCCAAAGTGAATTTAATAGTCTTGCCAATAACGCGGTGTCCACCCATATGGGTGGACGTGGCAGCGAACGTGTTAATATCTTTCTTTCAAAAATATTTACAATTTCTGCCACCTTCTGAGTCAACGTTCTTGATGCACTACCGTAAGTTACACTCAGCGTACATTTTTAGATCTAAATATAGTGGTCAATGCGAAATATGCTCTATTCGTCAGAATGGATGTCCTTCTGACATCTCCTTAATCTGCACCCAGTCTTGATAATTGCACCCCAAGGTATGCAAAAAGTGGATCCCCTTCTATGCATTAATGCTTTTAGCATTATTTTTCAGTACAGGCAAAGTTAAACAGGGTTTGTGCCAGCCCATCTCCATGTTTCAGGCCATGTATTTCAGGGTTAAAAAGGATCTGTTAGTTGGCCTTGTATACATGCCCATGCTTCAGTACTTGTCAGAGTGATCTGTGTAAGCCATATCAGTTTTGCTGTGATATTAAAGTATTTCAGGATTTTGTAGAGTTGTTGTCTATTGATAGAATCATATACCTGTCTGAAATCTAAAAATAATATTCGTTTGATGGTAAATATTCATCTATGATATTCGCAGCAAAGGAAGTCTTGGAACCACCCCGTACACAGAGCGAAAAGTTGTGGTAATTTCGACTTGAAAATTCGCCTCCTTTTTTATATGAGGCATATTAGGCTTTTTTTCATTCGCCAAGAAAAATTTATAGATCTTCAACACCCAGGTTGACTACTTGACCGATGTATCAATCCATTACTAAATCAGTTTCTATGCTTAATAGCTTTTGGAAATAATATTTCCAAATGTTATTTATTTCACTAGTATCACCTACTATTTTTCGTGTTTCATCTCTGCATAGAGCTGTGTATGGTTTATACCCTTGTCTCAACTATCTAACAAATATATACACATTCCTGGTGTTAGCTTTAAGGTGTGTCCAGACATTGCGCGGCATTCGCGCGTTGCTGCCGCGCAATGTCTGGACACACCTATAAAGTCTGTCTCATGTAAAATTTTCTCACGATTTTTCGATAAGTTCGTCGACAATTTTGACTTTCAAATAAATCATGTCTTGATAACGAACAATAATGTACAACAATTTCGAAGTCCGTTTTTTGAGAACTTCGACGCTGGTATTGTTTTATTCACGCGATAATGTTTCCGAAAAGGTTTATCTCTCGTTTCCTGGTATTACACCTAGAACAAGAAAATTCTATACTTACAGTTCTTTTTAATTCTTGCCTTCCATTCCATCCTTAGTAAACCACATAACGCATATACGCCATATACATCTCTACACTTATTGAACACTTGGCAATAATCAATTAGATTGTCTGAATTCAATCCATCAAACTTCGCGGTACACTTCGCGAAACTACCTGGAACGAGATTAGATACAAACGGTTGATGAAAACTTCAACTTCTGCTAAATTTTTAATTAAACTGTGCTTAGGATTACTGTTTCTAATGCAACGAAATAATCGGGTTTTATTACCAATTTTTGCGGTAATCAAGAGGCTAGTCTCACTAACATTCGATAACGTCTCGATAGTATTGGGTTTCGGAATCATTCTTAGGAGGTAAAGTGTTATCGCGATAACAAAACTGCACAAAATGAACACTACTTCGAATTAACTATAAAAGAAATAATTGTTTACGCGCCCGATTCTCGAATTATACTGTTCGTTTTTTGCCGATAACAGTTTCCCCCTCTGGTAATTCCCCCTTCGTAGATCACGTTTCCGCCTACAACAATATTCTTTCCGGTTTCTACCATCGGTATGATTCGGGTGTGCTGGTAAAATCGAATTTTAAAATAGTCATTTGAAAATAATTTAAATCTTTTAATTTTTTATAATCCCTCTTATTTTCCATCTTCATCTTTTCTTCTCAACACATTGCATTTTTATCTCAATTTTTTTTTTTTTAGGTTTCCTTAGAAGACTTTTTAGAATCATGCCGAGCTCCAACTCTTCTAGCCGAACTTGACGATGACGAAGATATGGGTGAAGATGACGAGAACGACGACGAAGAAAATGAGGACGATGTCGAATACGAAGAGGTGATGGTCTCGAGGAATTTGCTCTCATTCATGGACGAAGAAGTCTACGAGCCGCGTCCTAGTAAAAGACGTTCTTGGGACGACGAGTACGTTCTTAAAAGACAATTTTCGGCTCTCATCCCAGCGTTTGATCCGAGACCGGGTCGAACTAACGTAAATCAAACGACTGATTTGGAGATTCCACCTCCGGGACAAGAAGAGGGTGGTTCTTCGTCTGACCACGAATTGTTACCGCAACCCAGATTACAATTGGTCTTGCGCGGCCCGAATTTACCCGGAATTCCTGATGTTGAAATTGAATTAAACGAGCCTACTTGGACTATATTTAGGGCTGTGCAAGAATTGGTGCAGTTAACAGAACTTGGTAGTCGACAGGAGAAATTAAGAAGAATTTGGGAGCCAACTTATATGTAAATAAAATCTTTAAATTTCTTTTATTTTTATTAAATTAATTTTGATCTGTTTCAGAATTGTATATAGAGAAGTAAAAGACGATGGAACAACGGAAGACGAAGGTCGTTCAACGCCAGTAGTAACCTTATTTTCGCGTAGTGGAAGTAGTTCGGTAGCAGGAACAACGCTATCACCAAGTACACCCGTCCCAGGAACACCATCAGTTTCAACTTGTACAGTCGAAGACGTCCTTCAACTTTTAAGACATTTATTCGTTATTACAACAACAAAAGAAAACGTTCCTTACCCCGATTTCAATCAAATTCTAGGCGAAGAAAACGTTACCGTTTCTCCCGAAGAATTCACCAGCAAAAAAATTACCAACAAATTATTACAACAAATTCAAGATCCCCTTGTTTTATCAAGTTCTAGTTTACCGACATGGTGCGAAGAATTAAATCATTCATGTCCATTTTTATTCCCATTCGAAACAAGACAATTATATTTTAATTGTACCGCTTTTGGAGCCTCTAGAAGTATAGTTTGGTTACAAACGCAACGTGATGTTACAATTGAACGCCAAAGGACTCCTGGGTTATCACCACGTCGTGATGATCCACACGAATTTCGGGTTGGTAGATTAAAACATGAAAGAGTTAAAGTTCCAAGAGGTGAACAACTATTAGATTGGGCAATGCAAGTGATGAGACTTCATTGTGACCGAAAGTCGATATTAGAAGTTGAATTTCAAGGAGAAGAAGGTACAGGGCTTGGTCCAACTCTTGAATTTTATGCACTCGTTGCTGCTGAATTACAAAGACGTGATTTATGTATGTGGATTTGCGATGATGATGATGAGGAATCGTCAGAAGAAGAATCATTAGATGATGACGGTTTTGATTTGGGCGAAGGTTTAAAACCACCAGGGTATTATGTGAGGAGAAATACAGGATTGTTTCCGGCTCCATTACCACAAAATTCCGAAGTATGTGATAAAGCGGTTAATTATTTTTGGTTTTTGGGTGTATTCCTCGCTAAAGTATTACAAGATAGTAGATTGGTTGATTTACCATTATCAAAAAGTTTTCTTAAATTAATGTGTCACGGCGAAATACAAAACACCGTACATGAAAGGATAGGATTTGCTGGATTAAAAAAGTCAAATGATGAAGATATAATGACTTCAAGTTTAATTTCTGAAGAAAGTGAAAAAGAATTAGAATTTGATCCACCAAAAATGATTTATTCCGATGAAAAACGACCTTGGTATTCAGGAATTTTAAATCAAGATGATTTGCACGACATCGATCCAATTCGGGCAACTTTTTATAAACAAATACAAGAATTAGTTAAACAAAAGCAAAGAATAATGCAAGACCATAACTTAACTGGTGAAGCGAAACAACACCAAATACAAAATTTGTGTCTTAATCATCATTCTTCGGGGGCAGTTTTATTGGAAGATTTGGCTTTAACGTTTAGTTATTCTCCAAGTTCGAATGTATTTGGATTTTCGGCGGTCGAACTTGTTCCGAACGGGGCTGATATTGAAGTTAATATTGAGAATGTCGAGGAGTACGCGGAATTGACGAGCGATTTTACTTTGGATAAAGGAATTGCGAGACAATTAGAAGCATTTTATAAGGGATTTTCAATGGTGTTTCCGATGGAAAAATTGGCCGCTTTTAGTCCGGATGAAATGAGGGTTATGTTGTGTGGTGATCAAAATCCTCAATGGACACGGGAGGATTTGTTAAATTATACGGAACCTAAATTAGGTTATACTAAAGATAGGTAAGTTAAAAATTAATATATTTAAGAAATTTCAAATTAAAGTAAAATATTGAGTGACTCAGGGTTACTTCTAAGTTACTATCCAAAATTTCCAAAATATTATACATTTTGGAATTACGCTTATTACTATTTTCCTTAGAATTCTGGATGGTGTCTTGCTGTGTAAAATCTTAATTGTTAGAGTGTTTATTCTACGTAGTGAAATCTGAAAACGCTTCCTACTCATTTTAATATTCCATTTCGAACTTTCCCTATCACCCTCATCACATAGTTAATATCTTTTAGGAACTGTTTATAGTTTAAGTATGAATCTGTCCGTCAAATTATTCTCCCATATCTATTTTGTGAACTCTCATTTCTTCAAGTCTCGCGATACTCCAACAATAATCACATTGCCTGTAGCTATTTTAGATCTTTTGTCTTCCTTACAATCCTTTACCAGTTCTCCTTCGCTATTTGCCAGCCTCTCAGTAATCGCCATTTCCCATTTCTCTTTTTTCCACATCCTTTTTCTCTATCTTTCCCTTGTATTATTCTCCCTCGTCCGTCTGACCCGCCTGTTATTACAAATTATCCACTATTACACATTTCTAGAGTAGATAATACATGAAAAATTAAGATGTATAGTCTTAATTAAGGGCGTCAATGTTTCTTTAAAATTAAACATTATCTGCAATAAAAAACCCTTTGTTAAAAATATTTTTTATGCCACTGCTAATTTTGTCAAACGGGCAGTATTTTTGTGTAAAGTGTTCAATTATCTACCAAATTGGTCTCTTACATACAATGATTTGATTAACTTTGATTAAAACAACAGTTTTTAAGAAAAACAGGTTTGTAGAAAATTTGTTAATCCAATTCGTTATAGGTTCTCATCGTAGGCTTGTGCTATTCAAAATAAAATTATACTTAGGGTGTTAATAATAAGTGCGCAAGTGAGTTAAGTAAACTAGCTTATAAACTTCTTTTTGTCATTTTCACGGTTATTTTGCAATTACATGTTCGCTATGTGGAAATTAACTAGAACTTAACGTTCGTCTCGTAATCTGTGAATAAGATATTCATTCAGAAATTGGGATTCTTTCCAAGTTTTCCAAGCAGCCATCGTGACCACTCTAGTCTTGGTGGGTAATCTTGCGGTAGTAAATGTTGAACACGTTCAAAGTGATAAGAATACAATTGTTGCTCGTGAAGCTCCATTGAAATTACTGTGATATGTTTAAATTTTCAGAAATGTGTCGGGTACTTAACATATTCTTATTTTTTATTGCTCTCAGAACCGTTTGCTGAGATTCCGGAGTTCTAGCATAACGCCGTCGTCCAGAATTAATTTTGGTTGATTTTCCTGTTTCTCTTAATCTTCTATCGATATTATCAAACATTTGCCGATTTGGTGTTCTTTTGCATCACATGAAAAGAAATTCGCAAGCCCATAACATAGATGCATATCTGTCATCTCTTGAAATGAATATTCGTAATTCTTACTGTTATCGAAAATAGCGAACATGTAATTGCAAAATAACCGTGAAAATGACAAAAAGAAGTTTATAAGCTAGTTTACTTAACTCACTTGCGCACTTATTATTAACACCCTAAGTATAATTTTATTTTGAATAGCACAAGCCTACGATGAGAACCTATAACGAATTGGATTAACAAATTTTCTACAAACCTGTTTTTCTTAAAAACTGTTGTTTTAATCAAAGTTAATCAAATCATTGTATGTAAGAGACCAATTTGGTAGATAATTGAACACTTTACACAAAAATACTGCCCGTTTGACAAAATTAGCAGTGGCGTAGAAAACATGTTTAAAAAACAGTTTTCTATTGCAGGTAATGTTTAATTTTAAAGAAACTTTGATGCCCTATATCTCGTTAAGGAGGCATTTCCAGGCCTATGTATATTAAGACTATTCATCTTAATTTTTCATATATTACCTGCTCTAGAAGTCTGTCTGCGATTTTTTGAATCACCTGTATATCTCTCGCTATACAGGTGTCCCGTATCTTCCGCATCAGAGCATTATACGGTTGTAGGATACATTATTCTGAAGCAATGTTTCTAATCACATGAATGTGATCGTAAATCACATTCAGGCAATCGGTCTCACCCCCAGACGGCACATGTATTCAGCAATAGATTCGACACGGAAAGAGAAATAAACTTTTTCCGTGATTCACGGAAAATTGCTATTGGACAACTTTAAACAGTTCCCGTGCGGTTATTATAAACATTTCGAAAAAAATGTATTAGAAAGATCGCTTCAGCATAATGTATCCTACAACAGTATAATGCTCTGGTGCGGAAGATACGGGACATTCTGTATGCACCCTTGGTTCTCGTTTCAATCTTCTACAAGAAGTGATTTTCCCACTAAAACCTACCTAACTACAAAGAGCACCATTAAATCATGCGTTAACACCACACTTTTTTTTCTTGAACTGAACTTAAAATATTACAGAAACAAAACTTTTTTTTTTCTCTATCTTCAATCTATGTTCGCTAAAAACTTGTTACAATATGTTATAATATTGTTGTTGTTATATTTTTATTGTTAAGATATTTATCTGCTTTTGATGCGGCTCATAAGGGAACTTGTTGACACTAATTCTTCTGTCTCCTCTTGAATTAAATCTACTTTTGATTTTCTTAACTTATTTAATATTTTTTAGTTACAAATGTTATTCTCCAATGATAAAGACTTGGTTATGTTACAGCAGTCTAATGTATTATATAGCCGGTAAAAAAGTGCGTCATATGTCCAGTTTTAGTGAAATGTCCATGCTTGAATTTATTTCAACTATTATCACCTTCGTAGACTTTAAATCTTTTCTTCTTAACTGGCATGATCGCTTGATACTTTCATCACTAGATACCGTCGTAGGGGGTTACTTGGGACAACTTTGTGGATAACTTAGAAAGAAAAATAAGTAAACATATGAAATGTATTCAAAAGGGTTTCGTATGTTGTAAGGTACGATTCATCATTTTGAAACAGTCGATATTTTTAATATTATTAATTTTTTTATAGGTGTCTCAATTTACCCAAAAAATGGGGTAACATTAGTAAATCGTTAAATATGTGAAATTACACTTCATATGTGTAAATTGAGACACTAAAAAATAAAAAATAGTACATAGTAAATTTACTTAAAATACCATCCCTTTGTCCATGCCTCTTTGTCCATGACATCCCTTCCCCAGTTTCATATTGATATAAAGAATCCTTCCGTTTTTTATAACTACCAAGAGGACGTTATTAGTCTGCGACATCTTTTTGAGCTTTAGTGCCTTAATGACATTCCTTATTTCACTAAATACTCTTTATTTCCTCGATATAGACTTTCATATGGGGTTTATATCCTTGTATTAATTGCTTTATAAATCTATACCCATGTCTTGTGTTGTTACCGTTAAAATCGATTTCTATTTAAATAAGTTCTCCCTCAGCTTCTCCAGTACAGTTAATTTCTTCGTGCTATCTAGATTAAGATTCTCCTGCTTGTAGGTCTTTTGCTGTATTTTGATGTTAATTCTAGTACCTAAATTTTACCTGAATTAGATACTGATCAGAGCGGCAGGTCCGCTTCTTGTCCTCTTATCTACTAGTATATTGGTTGCTGTCCTATTATCTATTGCATTCCCATCTGTTGACCTTGTATATAATGGACAAAACATGTTGAGCTTATTATCATATTATTACCCGCTACAAAATTAATCAGAAATGTGTTCATCTGATGTTCGCGTTCATATCCCCGATTATTATCTTGATGTTATTTTTTTGGAATGAGTCGTATATTCTAGGTTAGTTGTTGATAGGTCTGTTTTATTTCGTTCGTCGAGCAGACACGTTCTTGACTTATGGCATGAAAGTCAGTTATTATATTATCGATTTTAATCTGTTGTTCACTGTGAACACCACTCTCAACTCCTTCGGGCCTTTCTATTTGTCCTTATACAGCCCAGTGCAAGCGTTAACATCACTGTTTCCATCACTCTGGTTTCCTGTATTGCCGCTATTCGGTGTTCTTATATTAAATCTCATAATCTAATCCTCTTTCATTTGCCGTTTCCGTTGCCAATGGTTCCGTCGTCTCTGAGGCTTCATTTCAGGTTTTCTAACCACCCCTTTTTTACCAAATTGTTGGTTGATTGTTGGTCCATTGCTGAATCCTTTTTGGAAGGGTCATTTCTTTTTCTTATCGTTCCTGCCTTTGTCTCACTAGGATTGGTTACCGCTGTCTTCCACAGGGATGCTCTGGCTTGACGGATTCCCCATTTTAGAGGCAAAAGTCGGTAAAGGTATTATCAACCAAACATTTGAACCAATCTCCATGTACAACAGATAATAATTTTTTCCTGTGGGCGGTGGTCGTAAGCTTGAGTTACGTAATATTTAAAGATACAAAATGACATTGAACCGGATTACATTAAAGATAATCATGTCAAGAAAAGTTGCTATTTCAACCATTTTTGTGGTAGAATGCAGGTGTTTGATAGGGCTAGTGTTGTTCTCGTTTTAGTTCAGCAATACTGTCAACATTTTAATTGATCATAAAATAAGATGTAATGTATGTTTTGTAAAAATCTATTTCTTTCTTGAACTTAAACTAATTATGATTCAAAATTATTAGTAATTTAGTAGTAATCCCGAAACACCCTAAATTTAGTATTTTTAATGATTGAATATATTAATAATTTATTTTTTTTTTAGTCCTGGCTTCTTAAGATTTGTAAATGTACTCTTGGAAATGTCACCCGAAGAACGAAAAGCATTTCTACAATTTACAACCGGTTGTAGTTCATTACCACCGGGTGGTTTAGCTAATTTGTATCCGCGATTGACGGTGGTGAGAAAAGTGGATGCCGGAGAAGGTTCCTATCCTTCAGTAAACACATGCGTTCATTATTTAAAATTGCCGGATTATCCAACGGAGGAAATTTTGCGACAGAGGTTGCTAGCGGCGACCAAGGAGAAGGGATTCCATTTGAATTAAAAAAAATGTGCGCGTTGCAAGGAGAGTAAAGGAAACCGAATCGAAACTTTCGTTTCTAATTCCTCATATTGATTTTGATATAATATTGTTTTTTTTTTATGGATTGTGTTGTAATTTTTCTAAAAATGGAGAAGTGTAAAAAAAATTAAATTTTTCTAGAAAAATTAATTTCACTCGGGGTGAGAGTTTAAAATTAAAATGATTTGTGAAGCGAATGGAGGATGGAGATATCAAACGATCACACCGTTATTAGTAAAATTTAGTGATAATTTTAGAATATAATTAATTCTCACCAAATCTACTTTTCATTTTTATTATGTTTTATTTTCTATATTTACGTGATTGTTATGTGATCATTTGCAATGTAGAGTGAATATAATTAGTGCACATGGGTATTTATGGTTTAGTCTTAATGTCTCTTTTTCCCTCTTTGCTTTGCAAACTAATATATTGTAGAAAAATTATATATCTGTATGTATTTGATGTTAAGATATACAATGTTATCATAATACACATAAAAAAATAAATCAATTCTAAATACCAGGTGTTTCACTACACCTGGAATATTAACTAATATTTCCTTCTCATCCTAAAAATTTTATTACTTAGGGCCGGTTGTAGAATGTCACAATAAATTTATTTATACCGGATGTAACAGAATCATGGTATGTCCTTTAGTTTTGAAGATAATTGATTCAAATTTGGGACACCTATACATGTGATAGAGACACTTTTTGACATACAAGTAATTTTTTTTTCAATTCCGGTTTCGCCGGAAGTGACACTAACTTTAGATTTTCAAATGGAACACTCTGTATATTATTACATTTTTTAAATCTGAATCCAATGGTACCACATAAGTGACATTTCAAACGTCAATATTTTTTAGAATTTAATTTTATTAATTTTCCATTTAAGTGTGCCATGACAGTTCCGTTTTATTCTAATTAACCTGTCTAATGCTGGAAAAATCTAAATTCCGCCAAAAATACCAAATTACTTGATTTATGTGCAAATAAACTTTATCAAAATGGTTTTTGGGGTATAACCCAATTTTTTCTAATTTTTCTAACCATATTGGTACCATGGTACTATTTATTAGTACTATTAATAAGAAATTTATTTATACCTAGTATTAGAACATACGATAAATACAATAAAAATTACAGCTAAACAAAATAAGAAAATACAATTTTGATCTAATTAAATGATTAAGACGTTACTAAGGTGGCTTTGGAAACAATGAAACTGTTTAATATGTCAAATACAAGGTAGATTGTTTGTTTATCGGTGTTTTTATGCTTCCTTTAAAAAGTGTTTACATTTATTGCTAATTTTGTTCAAAATGCCGCAAACTTATACAAGACATGAAAAAGTGGACATGTTAATTATTTATGGGGAATGTAGAAGAAATGCCTGTGTAGCTAGAAACCATTATGCCGAACGATATCCTGATAGACAATGTCCAGCGAGAAATTATTTTAATCGTCTTGAAAATCAAGTCCAAAGATAGCCCAACCATGATCCCGAAGATAATTCAATTATTAACGAAGAAACGGAAATTAATGTTTTGGCACGAATAGAAGTTAATAAGACTCTTTATTTAAGACAAATTGGGTTTGAATTGGATATCAGTCACCAAACGGTAAGCCGAATTTTGCACAAATACAAGTATAAATCTTAAATACCAATTGCACCAGCACTTGTAAAAATGATTACGAACGTAGGATGGAATATTGCAATTGGATTTTGCAGAATAACGTGCAGCCAAACAATGATTTTTGGGAATGATCTTATTTTCGGACGAATCCAGATTTACGAATTTGGGATTATTCAACATACAAAATATTGGTCACAAGAAAATCAAAATTTATTGCGGGAGGGTAACTTTTAAGTGCGGTTCGGTTTCAGTGTCTGGCTTGTAATAATCGGTAGTAGAATGATTAGCCCAATAATATTTGAAGGACCTCTGACTGGAGACAGATACTTAGGATTTCTGCAAAATGAAATTGCGGGTAGTTTAGCCCAGTTACCCCACCTTTTACAACAGGAAATGTATTTCCAACAAGATGCAGCGCCTCCCCATAATTCAAGAACAGTAACTAATTACCTTCAACAAAGATTCGGAGACAATGTAATTTCGACAAATGGTCCAATAAGGTAGCCTCCAAGGTCACCTGATTTGACACCCTTTGATTTCTTTGTTTGGGGCCATTTAAAAAACATTGTTTACGCAACCGCTGTTACAACCCGTGAAGATCTAGAGCTACGAGTAAGACGAGCACTAATAGCATAACGGCCGACCAATTGGAAAATGTTCTTCGGGAAACAGCTGTGAGAGTTCAGACGTATAATGACGTTAATGGAGAGCATTTTGAACAACTGATGTAATGTTTTGTGTTCATTTTTTTAATTCCAAAGCCACCTTAGTAACGTCTTAACATTTAATTAGATGAAAATTGTATTTTCTTTTTTTGTTTAGCTATAATTTTTATTGTATTTATCGTATGTTCTGATACTAGGTATAAATAAATTTCTTATTAATAGTACTAATAAATGGTACCACGGTACCAATAAGTATGGTTCCATTAGAAAAAATTGGGTTATACGCCAAAAACCATTTTGATGAAATTTATTTGCACATAAATCACGCAATTTGGTATTTTTGGCGGAATTTAGATGTTTCTAGCATTAGACGGGTTAATTAGAATAAAACGGAACTCTCATGGCACGCTTAAATGGAAAATTAAACTTTAAATTCTAAAAAATATTGACGTTTAAAATATTACTTATGTGGTGCCATTGGATTCAGAAAATTATTCAGATTTCAAAAATGTAATAATATACAGGGTGTTCCATTTAAAAATCTAAAGTTAGTGTCACTTCCGGCGAAACCGGAATTGAAAAAAAAATTACTTGTATGTCAAAAAGTGTCTCTTATCATGTGTATAGGATGTCCCAAATTTGAATCAATTATCTTCAAAACTAAAGGACATACCATGATCCTGTTACACCCGGTATAACTATCCGGCCGATAAACTTATCGGAAGGATAGAGATGTTCGCTGTAGTAAAAATGTTTTTGGCGATAGAATTGCTGTAGGCAAAATAAGAATCGATTGGTAGCACTTTTTCCCCATACCTAGTCATTTGTACGTAGGTTGGTATCGCTAACGTCTTTCTTTGAAATTTGAATTATGATTTTGACAGAATAATTGTTTATAACATATTTTCACGACACACAACTAACACTACGTATGTATAGGGTGTTATAGATTAACCTGTATACGGTTATTATATTATATTATTGTTATTTAATTATAGATGTGGTTTATGGTCGGTAAAAATCGTAAAATTATGGCCATGTACAAAATGTTTGAAAAATTTAATCGCTGGATTTTCAGGTGGTCCATTTAACGTGAGACAAGCGATTATCTCGAAAATGGTTCATTTTACATAAAAATGAACCAAATGAAAGTTGTTCTGAACGAAGGGGGAAACCATATGACGATAACATTTTTTGACCATGACCTTATTTTCAAGCTTAGATGAAGGTCACGACCAATTTTTTAAATGGCACCCTATATACAGTGTGTCCCCGGATAGGTGAAACGACTCTTATAAAAGGTAAATTTTTTTCGATATTAATTGTAATTTTTTGGGGTTTAGCCCTGCTTGATGAAAGACTAATTTTGAACATATTTTCAACTTTAAAAAACAAATGAGTCTTGACAGTGAAAGAAAAACTTTTTTTGTAGCAGGTAAAGTACCTTTTCTGTTTACAGTACGTGAAAGTGTTACTAAGAAGTTTTGTTCAGAATGAAAAACTATGCCCATATGCAAATTTTCGGAATGATCGGCCTACTTTGATAAAAATCCATATTAAACAATTTTCTTTCTAAAAAGACTGCCATGGAAAAACAAAATTGCTTTCCTGTCAATGTTAATCTGCCAAACTGTAATTTTGTAAACTGTTAATAATGATTAACTGTTTTCTTTTGCGGGCGAACACACAATTAATTTTTTGTGAACATTTTAACAACGATTTTTAACGAAATTTTAACAACAATTTTATTTCTCCCGAACAATTTGAATCTCAAAACAAAAAATCTTGAAAAAGTATCTAATCTTATAAAGTAGGCCGATGATTCCGAAAATTTGCATATGGCCATAACTTTTTATTCTGAATAAAATTTTTTAGTAACATTTTACCATACTGTAAACAGAAAAAGTACTTTACCTGACACAAAAAGTTTTCGCTTCAGTGTCAACACTCACTTAAACTTTTAAAACTTGAAAATATGTTTAAAATTAGTCTTTAACTAAGCAGGGCTGAACCCCAAAAGATGACAATTAATATCGAAAAAAATTTACATTTTATAAGAGTCGTTTCACTTATCCGGGGAAAATCAATGGATTGCACCCCAAAAACACATTTTGAAGCTTTTATATCCATACCAAAATTATATAATCTTTTAAACATTGATATAAATGTGAAAGATGTTCGTCCTCATTTTTACTCGTTATAAATAAGAATGCCATCTAAATATACGAATACAAAGTTTAAACCATTAGTGACTTCATAAATGAACCATTGGAACGTTTGTGCTGCGTTTCTGAGCTCGCAAAGCATTCTGGTAAATTCAAGCTATTAAACGCAAGTCCAAAAGGACTTGTAATAGCAGTTTTATAAATATCCCTTTCAGCAATAGGTATTTGATAAAAACCTTGAGGTAGTGGGTAACGATCTGGAACAGGAATCAAGTTAATTGGCGGTAGTTTCCGCAAGGAATCCAATCCCCCGAATCCTTTTTATTAACTATGTGTAATGGAGACGCAGTGAAAGAAGATGCAGGGCGACAAATATCAAGGGAAACTATTAAATCAAATTTTTTTTTGCCAATTGCGAACTTGGTTGAGCTCAGACATCTTGGTGTGCAGAAGGGTAAATAGGAATTAGTAACGATATGATGTGTGGAATGCTTAACGGGAGAAGCAAAGTCAGGTGTTGAAGTTAAAGTGGGAAAAGATTTTAATAAACGAGAATATTTTGTTTCAATGGAAAATAATTTCGGAGAGAATACAGATATTTGCATCAGTGATCCAGAAGAAGTTATTTTGGTTGTAGAATCAATCAATCGTTGATTTTTATTATCAACCAAAATGGCGATTTCTTCAAGAAAATCTGCACGAAAACAGGCTAATGACTAAACTAATCGGCAATGGTAAATACAGTGTGTCCCCGGATTGTGTCCCCGTAGGGTATAATTAACGATAAATTTTTGAATTCAAATTCCATCTTTTGCAATTAAAGTCTGGTTGTCATAAAACGAAATATAACCAAGTTTTATGTCAAATGTCCTCAAAGTACCAAAGTTAACGCAAGAAGTTTGTTAACCGTTGCAGGTAAAGTGGTCTTTCTGAGCAATGTACAACAAAAGTTGATTAAGATAAAATGTTTGTTATGTTAAATTATAGCGATATACCGAATGTTATTAATTTAGGATATAAAAGCAAACTGCAGACTTTTAAATCATTAGA